GGGCGTTCCGCCAGGTCGCACACCTTTTTGGGGCAGCTGGTTTGGTGCGCCATGGTCGCGCGATTCCAAGTGCCCGGCGGCGGCTTTTGAGGGTTTTGCCACGGCCGGAGAGCGCGATTGAAGGCAACAAGCAACTGCTTTTGGTGACAGCGAGGGCCGGGAGGTTCAACGGGGAAAACCCTTGACAACGGTGGTTTTTGTTGATTCTAGTTTTGGCGATAGGCGGCGTGATGCTGCAATTTTCGTCGGTGACGGTGGCCGCGACGCGCGGCGAGGTGAGGCTGGGCACGGGGGTTCTCAATTTTTTGGATTTCACAGAACTATGGTACATGTACAAAGTGCAGAGAATGATGGCTTTGAAGATGGGGTTTGTCCGTTTGAAGAAGGCGACGTCTGTATTAATTTTGAGCCTAAGGAGAAGCAGTCCAACAACGTTTTTTGGGTCTGTCAAGTAGTTGCGGGTATTGGGCTTGTGCAGAGACAACCCAATTTTGTTTATTGGTCCCAAGTGAGGGCTATTATGAATCCATATTTTGGGTCTCAACAGAAGCAGCCCACTCGCGAATTTTGGGCCTGTAAAGTAGCTGCGGTCATTGGGCTTGTACAAAGTGATGTTGGCAGCACCTTTACGTTCGTGGTTGTTGGAAGACGTTCAACATTCGTGTTCGATCGAGGGAAATGTCGGTGGTATTCTTGGGGACGACTCCAACATGAACGAGTCGGATTTGAGGCCGAATCATGCTCAACCGGGGGAGAATGATGAAGAATATATATATATATATATGTTTATTATTATTATTATTATTATTATTATTATTATTATTATTATTATTATTATTATTATTATTCCTTAATTATCTTGATTAGTTGGTTAGGAAGATATTTTATTTACTTGTTTGACAAGTTAGGGACTCCTAGATATTGAACTCTATTTATTAGCAGTCTGGCCAGAATGTACGGGAGGAGTTGAATATTGAATGAAATAAGATATCGTGTTTTCTTTTGGGAGAGTATCAATTGTTCTAGAGAGAGTATCTCCTTGTATTCTTTTATCCTTCCCATTCGTTCACGCTTCCCTACGTCACAGAGAGTTTTGCTGCAGCATCTCCGCCCGTCCTTTACATCGTCCTCCGTCGAGGA